AGTTTGAATATATATATATATATATATATATATATATATAATATTATATAAATACTTTTTTAAATTTTTAGTTTATTAATTAATGTGTCTAATTGGATAAATTAAAATAATTATATATTTATAAATTAAATTATTTTATTATAAGTTAAATTAATAATTAAAATTAAGTGCTAATGATTTAAATTATATTTCGATTATTAAAGTAATGTATATGATTAATAAATGATTTTTCTATTTTGGTTTACATTTTTTTTTTCCATTTAAGTAACTGGTTTCTTCAAAACTCTTAATGTTTTTATCCTTTAATTAACCTTTATATGAATTTATTTGTTTTTAAAATTAAAATAATTATCTTACCATTTTAATTTTTTAAGTGACTTTTTATTTAAATTTAATCATTTCTAAAAGTAAACTAATTACTTATAATAAATGAAAAGACACATGTGTATATAACATACAGATTTCTACTAATATAATATTAAAAACTTCAATTTTTAAATTTGTTATTTTAATTTTTAGTTAAAAAAACAAGTCTATTCGTCCTATATAATTTTGATACGTAAATATGAAGAGTTAAACGAAACAAATCAAATTATTGGAAAGTTGAAAATTTCAATCTAATTCGTTAAATTTTGACAAATTAAGATTAACAGACTGTCCTACATAGTAACATACGGATTGTGAAACAGACTGACCTACTAAGTTCTGTTAAATCTTATTTTTAATTAATTTTTTTTTAAATCTTGCAAAGTTAATTAGACAGAAAAAGTTGTGCTGCTTTTAAGATTTGCGATGCTTATCCATAATTTTTAGTTTTGATAATTTATAAAATTGATTTTAATTAAAAGTGAATTTGACAGTATTATTATTATAGAATAAATTATTTTTTATTTTATATAATTACAACTATTTCCTTAACAATTTTGTATAAAAATATTTTAAAGAAATTTTGTAAGAGAAGAGAATACATGATTACTGATAACACCTGATTGAAATGCAGTTTATCTGGAAGATTGATGGACAAGAAAAGAGATAAAAGCAAAAGTTATGCCAGCAAATATTTTTGACAAACCGAACCAAAGTGTCGTACGTAAGGTATGATGCAATGCAACTCAAATATCATTTGGTTTGCAAAAAATATTTCATTAAATTTCTGTGAAATTGTTATATGGTCCACAGTACCTCATTAGTCAATTACATGCCATAACTTTTCTCTATAGTTCCGTCACTACTTTCTTTTCCTATATAAATGCACTCAATTCGTATTTTACTATACTGTGTAACATTACTCAATTACATGCCATAACAATTTTACTATATCTAAATTATTTCTTATATAAATACTAGATTATTTCTTAATAATGTTTAAATCATATAGATGTTTAAGTATTTGTTTATCAAATTATATGGGTTAACATTTTAAGTTTTCACTTATTATATTATAATAATAATGTTTGATAAATAGATGAATATTTTTATTTTAGTACTATAAATAGATGAATCAATTTAATTTACTTTGTTTACTTATTAAATATATAAAATAAGTTGAAAGAATAAAATATGTTTAAATAAGTAAACTCATTATTTTTTATAATGTCAGGTTACAAAATTTTTAACTCATTAAAATATATCATTTTATATAATTAAATACAAAATAATATTCAAATATTATTAGATAATATTTTAATATTTAAAAAGATAAAATCATTAACATATTAACTATAAATAATAAACAATTATAATGAAAAAGTGATAAAAAAATGAAAAAAATTAATAAAAAAGTATTTATTTGTAGTTTATGACTCAACTTATTTTCAATCCAGTTTAAATTCATTTAACTCATGAATTAAATGAAGGAAATTTAACCTATGTTTTGAAAAACTGAATTTTTTTTCAAAACTTAACAGTGAGTCAAGTTAATTGATTTTAAACATATTTTAATTTAACATCCCAATATCTCACACTTGATAATTCATAATTTATATATTAACATTACATTTACGGTAACATCTCGTAATGTCACACTTAAAAAATTCATAGTTGATACATGTTTATACATGTTTTAAGTTCAGATTTAAAAAAAATCATAATTATAACTTGAGTTCTTCTATCTCTCCCTTCCTTGGCACTGAGTGAGATGACATTCCTTCATCTGCTCCCGTATAACGAATTATACGATCATCGCACATACCCAAACACAAACAAGTAGGGTGAGCTAACATGCAACCAATCATTTATGAAACATGCATATTTACTTTCAACAAACCTCATATAATAATTATGTCAGACACACTCATACCATCATACAACAATCGCATCATAGATACTCATCCATTACTTTGATACACTCATTCCACAATACCCAACAGACACTCATTCCACAATATCCAATAGACACTTATCCCGACGATATGTTGATGAGTGATCAACGAGAGGTTCCGCACTTGTGATGTCATTCTTAGTCCTCAACACTATGTCCAAAACTGGCACATAGACCAAGACATCCTGCCCTCCATACCATCCACAAGGTTAGTCCCCTCACTATGTCCAAAACCGACACATAGACCAGGACCTCCTGCCCCTCTCACGACATAATTCATCATTCTCTACTTGAGACTGGATGATTATTAGAGTATCAGGATAACCTCCAACTTCATGACCCTCAACATCAACATATACACATATACTATGGCATTACAGAATCTCTCCGCGAGACTCACACCATGTTCACATTCATCAACTCATTACACCATTACGAAATCTCCCCATAATACTCATATCATGTTCAGATGCATAACTTCAAATCCAATATAATAAATTACAATCACCACAGAAATCATACAAACTGAATATATCAAAAAATAAATTAACAAGACTAAAATATCACCATAAATGGTCACCGGAGAAGAATCAAATGTTTGACGAATCAAACTCACCATAAGCGCCAGTATATATGACTAGTCACGACTTACTGGATTGGACCATGGTTGCTCTATGATCAGGGATGTACCAACTCCGGTTTTTAAGATTCCTCTATCCTACCATCACAATTATAATTCATAATTCCATATCTACCACAATAACATGAATCCATCAAACATTTTCATTCCAACGAGAAATATTGCATAATAATTTAACAGTACTCAATCTGTACAACTAAATCATATTATAAAAGCTTAGAAAGGTTAGCTCTCTTACCTCTATTCCAGACTTCTCTTGCTCCGAATTCGTTTTTCCCAAAAACCCTCCAGAGGCTCTATTCTTCTTACAACTAAAAATTTCTTCCTAACTCTTTTTTCTTTCTCACTTGATTCTTCCTCTCTTTGTGCAAAATAGCTTCCCCTCCTCATGGCTATTTATAGTCCAAATTTTTTACTATTCATCAATTTTTTAATATTATTTATTATTTTAATATTATTTTATTATATTAATTTCTTAATCACCACTTACATAATAGATTCATAATGGATTCATTAATAATGTCTTCAAATCTGAATGCTTTCTCCATTATCAATATTTTACATTTCAATTTACTTTTTCGTTTTTTTTGAACCCATCACCAAAATTTTCTATCAATTAAGTTACCAAAAATTCTTATTTAACTTTCCACATTTTATATTATAAACTTATTATATTTTCCATTCACAAAGAAGTTTATTACTACTAATAATAAAATTGTTACTATTAAAATAAATATTTTTCATGGGTCTTACATTTAACACTTCTAGATAAAGGAATAAATTAGTAATTTAGCAAACAATTTTCACAAATTCACCCCTTTCTCCTCACATTTTATTTTCTCTTTAAAATCATTCTCTAATTATCAAAAATTCTCCCAATTCAACTTAACCAAATACAAACAGTCCTCACAAATTATCTCTAAATCCATTCCCACAAATTGTAAATTATGTCTAAGTGCATAGCATAAAGCTTGTTGTGACTATTCTTGAATTCTCTTCTCTAATTCTTGCTGCCATGTTTAGAATTGAACAAGCTACCTATGTCATTGGCCAAAACCAGCTAGAAAATGAATATTCAGTTCATATTATTATCACTGCATTTTCTTGGAGTATTCTTGGAAGCTTCCTCAGTTTCCGACAAGTAGAAAGGTACCAATGGTACTGTGTGACAGATACTGCTCTTAAAAGAACACGTGGCAAGTAATATTTTCTTTGTACTCTTTTCAGTTCTTTCACTATAAATAAAAGTCAGAGACGCCTCTCACCATTTCTCATTCTTTCTCTGCTTTTCTGCGGAGGTAACACCATAAAAAACTTAATGGGGAACTGTTGGAGTTTTCAATCAGCTTCTGCTGTCAATCACCGCAACTCCATTACTGCACCCAACCCCAACAATCGATCAGGTAAACCAACAACACTCTCCTTCTTTGATTCTTAAAATTATATAAACGCATCATGCTATAAGTGCAAAATCATTTCATCAAGTCAAGCAGAAAAGTCAACCAGAACTTGCAGCCAATCTATCCCCAATTCCTAAAAGCCATGTAATTGGAATGAAACATAAAAGACACTCCTTGTTATTTGCAATAATTCACTACGAAGTGCTTGATCTTGTCTATTCAGGTTCTAAACCAGATTTGTTGCTTTATATGACAATTTTTTGCTTTCTTTGTTACAATGGTTCAGGGAGTATTCAGTTTTCTGCTGGTACAAGCAATAATAGATTAATACAGAGCAGTAATTCTATTTCTGTCGGGCACAGCAGCCACTCCGGAGGATTCAGCAGGTTCTTTGGACCAAGTAGTAGTAATAATTACTCAACAGGAAATAACACCAGCACGTCCTTTTTGGGCTCTGACAATAGCCAAGCCTCTCGAGTGAGGGATGAAGAGGAGAGGGGGCAAATATTGGATGTTGCAGATCTGAGAGTATTTACTTTGGCAGAACTGAAAGCAGCCACCAAAAATTTCAGAGCAGAGACTCTGTTAGGAGAGGGGGGATTTGGTAAAGTATACAAGGGTTTGATTAGAGCTGAGGGGTTGGCTATTGCCATCAAGAAGTTGACTTCTGGAAGCAAGCAAGGAGTTTCGGAATGGCAGGTATCGGAATTAATAACACTTCAAAATTAGTATGTGGCTAATATTACATATGTATACTGATATTGATGCTTTTTCTTTTTGTGCAGTCAGAGGTTAATTTCTTAGGGAGGCTTTCTCATCCCAACCTTGTTAAGTTGCTGGGATTTGGGAGGGAGGATAGTGAACTGTTTCTGGTGTATGAATTTATGCCTCGTGGGAGCTTGGATAACCAATTATTTGGAAGTAAGAGCATGCTAATGCTGTTCATCACATTGTTAAATCCTAGCACACCCAGAGTGAGTACTAATTTGGGAAAATCTATGTACTTTATTTTGGTTCTGCAGGAGGTGCAAATGTTCGGCCACTTTCTTGGGACACAAGGCTAACAATTATGATTGGAGCAGCTAGGGGGCTTCATTTCCTTCACAGCTTGGAGAATGCCATTATATATAGGGATTTTAAGCCCTCAAATATTCTCCTCGACTCAGTAAGTTTCGTTATATCCTTGGGGCTTGGAATTCCCATGATCACATTTTGCTCATTGTGCATGCTATTGAAGTATTCATGGAAATGAAAAAAAAAATCTTTCTAATTTTTTCTTTTTTAACAGAAATATGTGGCTAAGTTATCAGATTTTGGCTTAGCCAAATCTATCCCTTCGCCTGATCAGAGTCACATATCAACACATGTTGTGGGAACACACGGCTACGCTGCTCCTGAGTACATTGCAACAGGTATTATCTGTTAATTTCCCTTCATAAACCTCTTGTGTAAACCTGAGATGACAGTAATTAAATTAAATGGTGTAGGTCATTTGTACGTGAAAAGTGATGTGTATGGATTTGGAATTTTTTTGGTGGAGCTGCTGACTGGCAAGAGGATTAGTGGTATAATGCAACTATGTGGGGAAACGCCGTTGAGGGATTGGGTCAAAAGAAATCTTTTAAATAGAGGGTATATAAGAAACACTATGGATGCAAAGTTGGAAGGCAAGTATCCATCAAACTTAGCTTTACAAACGGCTCAACTAGCTCTCAAATGCATCCAAATAGAGCCCAAAGTAAGGCCATCAATGAAAGAAGTTCTTGAAAGATTGGAGCAGATTGAATCAGCCAATGAAAAACCGGCTGATAACAGAAGACGGGTTAACCGTCCTCGGGTTGTTCAACAACATGGCCGTCCAGATGGTGGCTAATTGAACTGAACCCATCATTTTCATATTCCCTTGAAGCTGATCGATTGTGGACTTGAAGAACATATTGCTAAAAAAAGTGTCTTTGCTCCAGTGC